GCCTTGTGTTAAATATGTATTTTTGGTTTGTTTTGAGTTAGCCTTGTGTTAAATATGTATTTTTGGTTTGTTTTGACTTCATGTAGTTTAATTGTTTGAAAGGTAATCAAAGTTTGCCGCAATTAGAGCAACTTTTGTTGGGTTGTTTTTAGGATTGCCCTGAGATTAGCTCCATATATCTTCACACTAACTTCTCATCCCCCGTAAAGATAAGCATCCCTACAGCATGATGCAAACAATACCATGTTTCATAGAGAGAATGATATATGTTGGGGGATTCCTCTGATGAGCGCATGTCCGGTGTATCCCCTACTCCAAACATGTGCCAACTGTAAACAGAGAGTAGAGTCCACCTTTTTATTAAATACCCTGAAAAAAATTACTGCAAATAATTCCATTAAGAAGCCATATAAGTACTTCAAGTAGTAAGTTCGCCTGGGTGTAATGTGACCTCGATGTCAATCCAGCTGTGCATTCATAAAATATATCAAAATTTGTGATTGTAAAGTCACAAAATATCAATATCTCTCCGGAAATTATGAAATGGACAGAGAAGGACGCATTCATAATACAAACTTGACTCATGTTTCCCCGTCAGGACTGCACCATCTGCATGGAAGCCCTGGCAGGACCTTCGGGCTACAAGGGCCCCGGCGTGGGTGGCATCTCCCGGGCCGAGTCAGTGGGCCGTCTGGCACAGTGTGGTCACCAGTATCACCTCCAGTGTCTTGTTGCCATGTACAACAACGGCAACAAGGACGGCAGCCTGCAGTGCCCTACTTGCAAGACTATCTACGGGGTGAAGACGGGCAATCAGCCCCCAGGCAAAATGGAATACCATGTCATCCCCCACTCACTTCCGGGACATCCAGACTGCAAAACCATCCGCATAATCTACAACATCCCGCCTGGGATTCAGGTGAGAGTCGGAACCTAATTGAAAAACAGAAACATAAGCAGAAGAGGGATTTTAGTGCTTATTATTTTGGGGATGTTGTGTACTTCAGGGCCCTGAGCACCCAAATCCAGGAAAACCGTTCACAGCACGTGGTTTCCCCAGACACTGTTATCTCCCCGACAGTGAGAAGGGTCGCAAGGTAAATAAACACGCCCTCTTCCTTATGACTTTACGAGCACAATAATCACCCAGTGAACAAACTTCACTTTTAATTTCCTTGCTCAGGTTCTGAGACTTCTCTTGGTAGCGTGGGACCGCAGGCTCATCTTCTCCGTAGGCACGTCCAGCACAACCGGCGAGTCCGACACAGTGATCTGGAACGAGGTGCACCACAAGACCGAATTCGGCTCCAACCTCACAGGCCATGGGTACCCTGACCCGGGCCACCTGGACAACGTGCTGGAGGAGCTGAGGGCTCAGGGCATCACCGAGGAGGAGTGCCTAACTAGAGATTGAACCGATAGACGTTTGGAGCACAAACGACCTGATATGAGACTGATGATGATGCAGTTCTCTGAGCTATTTTCTGACAAATGGAAAAGATTGATTGTGAATTAACAGCTGTTCAAAGACACTTTGCAGGAATGGTTTCAGCTTCTGACGACGGAGGCACATTTTTTGCTGTTCTGATGCTGAAGACGCATCAAGGCCACAAGGGGCTTATATAAGCCCACAGTAGTTTAAAAATGATCCGTCATTTCTTACTGAGAGGCTTCGTAAAAGAGAGGCATGATGAGAATGTAACTGAGGTTATGTTTTTTTGTTTTGTTTGTTTTTTTTTTGTGATTTTTGACATGTTTACCACTGTTGCTGCTTTGCTGGACTCAGAGAGGAATTTAACTGAAGGAAAATGTTTTGGTTTTTTTATGTTTTTTCAGTCTTAGTCAACAAAGCAAAACATTTTAACTTGAGATAAATCAAATGTTTAACAGGATATCTGAGCATGGATATTTCCTGACCTCTAGTGACACTTTTTCAGAACTGCATTCCTTTTTTTGGTCTGATTTATAAATGTATTCTTATATATTACAAATACTTGATATATGATGTTGGCTACACTCATTCTTGTTTTTATATTTTATTTTATACGTTGTTTCACTGTTTTATTGGCTCGGGCCAACGTCGTGCTGGTGTACAAAAGACTTTGTTTTCTTCTTTAACCTCCATTTTCAGGATTTTGTATTTGATAAGCTCACAAATGAACATTCCCTAATCATTTGTTGCTCAACGTACGAGTGCTTTTAAAAGCATTCTGTGTTTTATTGTTCAGGACTAAAAGATGAAAGCCTTGAGTCATTGATTATTGTCCCCCGAGGAGCAAATTCACCAAAAAGCTAGGATTTAAATTTTAGAACCCTCTGCCTGCCATCAGATTTGCTCAGAGCTTTCTCCTTAGCGTCAGAAGAAAACAAGATCGTTTGCATCTAATGGTTTTTGCGTGTCTGAGACACAAAAAGACACCAGCCTTTAGTCACACTACAGAATGTGGTAAATGTTGTTTATTTATTTTTTTGTCATGTTCACATTTTGTCATAAGAAGGTGCAAAACGACTATCATGAAGTGGATTCAGTTTCGGCCAAAGTCAGTTTGCATTAAGTGGACTGTTTTACTGTGAGGTATGTTGGAGGTGTGTTGGGTTATAGTAATGTGGGCCAACATTTATACTTTATGATACTTTATGTAAGTATGTGTTTTATGTGCAGATTTGAATTAAACTGTTTTCTAAGAGAGCAAGCTGAAGTCTGACATGGTTTACCTTCATTTTCTGCAAAGGTGAGTATAAGGAGTTTAATTGTAATCACTTCCAGAATGAAAGTATTAGATATTCGTGGAGGAAAGTTGATTTTATATGTAAGCCATTTCTTTGACATTAATCTTAGACTCATCTATGAAAGACAGGCAAGCCCATAGCATTACAGATTATTTTCTATAAAAGCCATCGAGTGTTTTGTTCTTCAGAAAATGCCCTTTCATTATGCCAACAAAAGGGCTTAATAATGTATTTCTCTCAATTTTATGCATTAAGCCAAAAAAGAAAAATCACAAATATTTTTTTAAGCACTACCCTTGAGCACTGGTGTGATAAAATACAAACTGTGAGAAATATTAGCAAATAGTTTATATTAGTTTAGAAGCATTCTATTCACATGGCACCTATACTGGATACAAAATTTGGGGTTCGGAGAGCTCAGAAACATTCTGACTTCAGTAGGCGTTCTTGTCGTTTTTCTGTGAGATCTGAGTGCAAAGGGAATGGGACAATCACTAATGATAAAGCTGATTATGGTTTTTCGGGGTTACGAGAAAACCCCTTTGATCAAAAAGCTTACCTGACTGATAATCAGAAATTCAGTTAAATTTATTTTGCAAGATTGCTTGACTTTTTTAGGATGAGAATTTTCCCATTTTATCATTCTCAGTTTATAAAAAAATAAAGAATACAAAAATTGTGGTAGTCTCTGCTAAATTAGTTGCTGTGTATGAAAATTTTAAAGCCTATGTGCCTTGTACAGCAAATGGCTAGATTATGTAGATCACTCACAATACTGACTTCTTCCTCTCGGGATGAGCAGTTTATCTGCAGATTAGTCTGGTTTCTGGATTAGCTGGCGGGATTACTTCCACCTTAATGAATGAGGAATCTACAGAAGCAACTAAACACAATTATAAAGGTCCCAGCCTTCGAGAAGAGACAGCTTTGGAAAACAGACAGTCACGGAATAAAATGTGACAATGACGTGACAAAAAACTGTAAGCGCTTCAACACTCAGGCCACTTTAGCGCCAGATCCAGAAATGTTGTCGCTTTAGTGATGGTCCAGAACGGTTCACACTGAAAACCTTTCAGATCAACTTTCCATTTCTCCTTCATTTCTGCAGCGACAGAGCTTTGCTTTAACTGGCAGATGTGACGCTTCTGCATGTGGAGGAGTTAAGAAAAAATGCACCAGGCGGCCTGCCGGGTTAAAGAGAAGCAGATGGGATAAGGATCTAATCGGGGCATTCCTTGGTTAAGCCGGACCGACAACAACTAGTGGCACTAATGTAGATGAAGTGATAACGGATGACTTCTGTCTCCACTCTTTATGGTTTAGTGGGGGGAAGAGACAGCAAAGGAAGCAGAAAAGAGATGCAGAAAATGGCACATTGGTGCATATTTCAACATGAAGTACAGGACGAAAGGAGAAGAACTGCAAAGAGAGAAAGAAATGGATGATGAAAGAATAGATTAAGGTGTGTGAGGATTTGCAGAAACCTCTAGGAAGGGGGGAAGGTGGTTCTCAATTGGTCACACAAACCCCTCCTGCAGGGCTCTATTGTCCACCACCCGCGGCTGTGCAAAGAAAGCTGATTACAAAGGACAACAGGCTGTGCTCCTCTGCAGTTGATCACCACATGTTGCCATTTTTGCCTCCCAGGACAATGCCAGCCTTCGAGAGATTCACACTTTTGCCAATGACACAACTTGCTCTTTCTTTTCTTCTCTTTTGGAGAGGATCTGAACTGTTGTCTGCTTGGTCTTTCTGCATAAATCCAGATGCGGCGAACCCGCCCTCCCCGCAGCTCCTCAAAACGGCTTGTCTATTATTAAAAGCTTTTAAATGGAGCAGCGTGTTGGCTGACTACCAAATCCATTGCACAGTTGCCAAGGAGACGCACATTCGTGGCCGCCAGTCCTTTTTGCTCTTTTATTTCCACCCACCTCCCCTCCCCTCCCCTTGAGGCTCACATTTCAAGAGTGTCAGCAATCTGGTGTGCTCACACTGCTGCCTTTCAGCTAAAAGCTTTTTGTGCCGCCAGTGGAGCAGAATGGAGGGCAAAAGAGAGAGCGGATGGGAGTGGTTAGGGAGGAGAGGGGGAGGGGGCTCGGAGGATAAAAAGGCCCTCTCTCACCGTTGCCAAGGCAACTTGATGTCACGGTGACATCACGCAGTATTAAAAGCTTTTAACCGGATTTCTCTCCTGCCTTAGGCCCCATTTTGAGTCCTCTTTCAGCTAGGCTAGGGGGAAGGGCAGAGGCAGGGCGGCTGTGGCTGTGCATGCTCTCTCACATGTTTCCCTCCTTCCCTGCAGACTCAACCCAGCCCTTATAAGAGTAAAAAGACTTTCAAATTCAAGCTCTAAAGCTCCTATCTTTGCACAAAAAAAAAAAAAAAAAAATAGAGAGAGAGAGAAACCCAAAGCCAGCACAGGCCAAAAGAGAGACGTAGAGAGGACGAAGCCAACTTCAAAATGGCAGTGGACGATAGTTTCAGCTACCTGATGCCAGGCCACGGCGAGAAACACAGGCGGGCCCCGAACTGGACCGACGGCGAAATGAAGGCCCTCCTGTACGTGTGGGATGAATTCCACAACGAGCTGAAAACCAGCAAGAGGAATGCCAAGGTTTACGAGAAGATGTCCCAGAGGTTTTTCCAGCTCACCGGAGAGCAACGCTTCAAAGAGGAGATCAAGATGAAAATCACTAACATGTCCTTCCAGTTCAGGCAAGTGCTCCATGTCCAGCAGCTGCGGCTCCACAGGCCCAGATGTTGCACGTCTAGTAAAAAAAAAAAGTTATAATCCTTCCACTTTCTTTGTTCTTACAGGCGACTGAAGGCCACGGCCAACGAATCGGGGGAGACGCCGGACTGGCCTTACTACAGGGCCATCGAGAAGATCCTCTCCAAGCCGCTGGAGAACGGCAGGGTGAACTCGCTGGAGTTTCAGGCCTCGGCCGCCGGTCCCTCCACTTCGTCCCAGTCCACAGACAACCCCTTGTCCCAGACGGAGGAGGGTGTGATTGGATTCCTGCCAGAGTACACTGGCTCCTCAGATGAGATGGAGATAAAACAAGAGCTGGACTCTTTGAGTTCAGACAGCGAGCACATGCTGGGCTCCAGGTAACAGGAAAACCAAACGCCCATGTACGAGTACGCTGTTTTAGCTTAAGGCAACGCAACACATTTTAGGCTCTTTCAACCATGCTGCTTGCAATTATTTGTTACTTATATTCCATATTTGTTACCTTACTATCATGTTATGTTTGGGTTTATTTTGAACAGCGCACTTGAGAAAAGTACACATTAATTCTTAGAATGACTGAAATAATTTTATCTAATGTTTTTTCTTTCATACCTCTTTCAAACTTAGATTTAAAATGATTCTGACAAAAAGTGAGGCAGGCATCTCTCAATTTATACAAAACAATGCAAAAGGCGTATTAATTTTTGAAAATTAAATAATAAAAATAGTAGTAAAGTCTATACCCTCCATTGGCACTGCAACTCCATTACAAAAATAACATAGCAAGAAAAATAGGGTCTGTTTCTGTTTTATTTTAGTATAATAGTTTCTTGTATGTTTCCACAGTTATTGTGATAATTTGTCCTTCGGTGATGAGCTCAGAGTCTTTAAACTTTAGCTGCTTTCACACTCAAATTTAGCCTCCCACCTGACCACTTTTAGAGAGAAAATGTTTTTTTTTTCTTCTTTTTTTCCCCTTTAATTGAGTTGTTTGATTTAGTCACAAATCAATAATAAAAAAAAAACACATTACATCTAGGAAGCCAAAGATTAAGATTTGAGATAAAAGCCAAATAAAACAAAAACAACAGTACAGTCAAAAAAAAAAAGGATGAAATATTAACTATCACAGAGAATAACTAAATTACAGATGAAATACTAATGGATAAATGGATTGTTTAATTCTTTCTAAAATGATCTATGTAAGAAATAAGATAAAATAGAAATAAATAAACAATCAAGTGAAGTTAAGTAAAATACAAATTAAATAAAAGCCTTGTTAAAGGCTAGTGGTGAACCTACACCCAAATAAACCCAAACTTAAATTGGATTTTTAATCATCCAAAGTGTCCCACAGCAAAACAATGCAGGAATGGCCATAGTAATGACACATTGGACCTTGACAGCTGCCTGCTCATTTTTAATGATCAGTATTAGAACGTTTGCTGCAACACAAAGGGCTGTTTATAACCAAAACCAACCAAAACAATCACACATTTAATAAGCATCTCATGACGGGTGAACAGTGCTGCTCCTGGTGACTGCCACATTTTCAGACATTAATCAATTCTGCATTGCATTTTATTTTTGCGCAAGGCTGAGACAAAATGAACTGAAACCAAACGTTTTTTGAACTGGTTTTGCGGTAAGAGGGATTCTGTTTTTAAACATGATCCTTTTTCGTTCACATAGACAAACATAATTAACAGCAGATAATAAACCTAAGTGCTGATAGATCTCTCAGGCTGTGTGTCAGGTGTTTGGAGGGATGAAACTTTTTCTATTTTTCGTCACTAGTCTGTTTTTTGTTTTAAAGAACACGCTATTTTCTTGGTAGGTATTATTTCATCTAAACCTAATTCCAACTCTAAAATCGTTGTAAACCTTTATAGATGTTCCTCTCCGCTCCTCAGCTCCCACCCCGTCTCAGCCAGGAAGCGACGTGCCAAAAAGTACCTGTCCCTGAAGAGGAAGAAGCTGCAGGTCATGCAGGCCATGCTCCAGCAGCACAAGAAGTCCAGCCAGGCGATAGAGGAGACGTGCAGGGAGCTCCGCCGATCCATGCACCAACAGAACCTCCTGCAGGTCCAGTGTCTGCAGCTGCAGGAGAGGATGATGAACCTCCTGGAGAAAATGATACAGCTCCCCGGCTCAGCGTCAGCGGTTTGGAGTCAGAGCGGGGCTAAAGATCCAGGGAAACCGTGAAGGAGGGAGAAAAAAAAATATGGAATCTCCCAACGCTCATAGGAAAAGCAGGTTCTCTAATTTCACGTCTCAACTGTATTATTACATACAAATTAGACTATAACTGTTATCACACCACAGATAAGGACTACCAAAAAAAAAATCCTTTCCCCGACTCTGTGGGGGTGCCTGAAAACAATAATTAAAGGAACTAAAAGGACATTGTTTAAATGTTAGTCCATTGTATATGGGGTTACAATGTAGTCTTTTTTTTTTTTTTAGCTTAGAACTAGTTGTGTAAAATATTTCTCAATTACATGCCAAGTATTCAATTAAAATAACTGCAAACAGTTTTTTTGAAATCCTGCTTTTTTGTTCGTTGAGGATTGTTCTTCAGCAACACAAGTTAATTTGCAACATCATTAGAACCAATACAGAGTCTTCTTTTTTTTTTTGGTGTCAAGATTTGTTTTAAAATCTTTTGGAAATGTGATTTCGGTGAGAAATTCCACCTTGCAAACATCAGATCAGATATAATTACAGATAGCCTTGATGCCTCAACATTAGATAGATGAGAATCACTCAGATCACTGTGAGTACAGCAGAGGTGTTTTGTATGCTGCTTATTCGAAAAGTCTGCTAAGTAAATTTATTTCTATTTTTGTCCATTTTTTCTCCTTTGCTTTGAAAGGAGCCAACGTCATGTATCAATGATATTTTCCATTGATTCATATAAAAGTAAATGAATTATACTCATGTATAACTTCATTTCAGTCACAGACTGTGCTAACCTCTCAAGCAGTCTCGGTCCTGTGTTTTTCTTCAGTAACTTAACCTGTTTTAGTTTAAACTGAGTACTTCCCCAAAAAGGTCTGTATCCCCCTTTGGCTGCTTTTTCACTCATTTTTATTCTTGCATCTAATTGTTTGCAGAAGAATATTCAGTGTGCAATGTTCCCTATCTCTTCCACATTTGACCTGCCCTGGCGAGTATCGGTTTTGTATTTATTTAATTAATTTTTAAATAATCTTTCTATTATTGTTTTACTTGTTAGCACCTTTTTTGTATTACTGTTTCACCTGTTGCACAGTCTATGTATATATATATATATATATATATATATATATATATATATATATATATATATATATATATATATATATATATATATATATATATATATATATATATATATATATAAAAATAGGGTTTGTTTCTGTCTTATTTTAGTCTGGTGACTCATTTTTATCTCGGAACACTAGGAATTGCTTATTACTTATAACAGCTCATACTCTTTCCTCATGTTTTGTTCAACATTTGTCCAGTGTCATTAGATTTAAGACTGCTGTGCAACTCGACAAGTTATGCCAAACTGACTGGTACTGTGTCACCGGTGCTATTCTTGTGGTGTTAACACTTTGGTACAACATTCAATTGTCTCCTAAAACATTTTACAAGTTTGCAGTGGCTCAACCCGACACATAAAAGGCCCTTCTCCATTGTCAAGTGTCATGCTAGCCAGGTAGTATTTGGTTTGGATCAATTTGTTACAGACAGAACTGCCTTTTCATGGTGACCCCAAACCTGGATTGCAAAAGAACCTACGTGTTGTCATAATAGCGGCTTTACTTGAATTGCACGTTTGCTTGTCTTTTAGATTGTAAAGAACCTCCAGAGAGACATCTGACATTCATAAATCAAGAAAAAAAAAATTATTGTTTACTATGCAAAAGCAGACACTCTGGTCAACCTAAAAAAGGATACGTACATTTTTTTTGTCATTTTATTTGTTTGATATAAAACATTAATGCCACTAGTGCTTCTGTGAAAAATAATTATGTTTTCTTTTTTTTTTTTTACAAATTGCATCAAATTATTATTTTTTCCCCAAGTATTTTTAAAAATGGAATAATATTGCTGTACTGTTTGATATTGCTTGTAATTAGAGACTCCAAAACTTACTAAGAGGAAGAAAATTCAAAGCGAAACAAAGTTTGCATCTTGGGTAAGACATTCAGAATATCCAGCTGTTGTTCAAGAAACGTTTACAGAGTACTGCCAGAGTTTTTGATGTGAGCGTAAAATTAAAAAACATCTAGCTGCTGCATTTGAAGTGTGAAAGATGACATGCTTAGTGATCCCCTGGAATGCGCCCCAGTTTTAGTTCATTCTTCAGAGTAGATTAGGCCTGCATTACTTAAAAAGCAGCAGTGTTTTTACTCTAAAAGAGAGCTTGTGGCGGACACAATCTATATATCTCATACCCGAATACACTTGTTGTGAAGGGGAGAAGGTGAGGTGAGACTATTTTTTTATTTCCTACAGACTTCCACAAGCTATGATATATGTGTTCACCCACACACATTATAATGACTGGAGCAAAGCATAACCACAGGCCTGGATTGACTGATAACTGATATCACATGACATTTGTTCAAATAAGCACCGTCCCTCCCCCCCTTTTTTTATTTTACATGTAGTGTAAGCTGTACTGCACGTGTAGAAAAACAATGTGTGCAACCGTTGAAGCCCTTTGACCACTTAGGTATTATTTTCACAACAGTCGTGGTGTTAGTGTGGAGCAAAGCTGGGACCACTGACACGAAAAACAAATGCGACAGGATTATAAAACATCCAGGTAACACGTGTGCTTTTATTTATTGTTTTAATAAGGAAAAGAACTTAGCCTTATTTCTCCATTGTGAACTTTATAGAAATGTACTCCGTCGTTACATTTACTGAGATTTGCCGCAGAATTCGGAGTGACTTTTTTTCTACGCTTTTAAGTTCTGATACAAATGACGCTGAAGTACAATCTGTGTTTTAAAATGCGACCAATTCAGAGCAAAATTAACATTTTCAACTGCCGCCTGTGTCAGCCAATAGCGTCACTCCACTCGTTTGAATATTGAACGTGACAGCCGTGGTGATTGGGCAAAGGGAAGCGTCACGTGTTAGAGAGAGACGTTACGCTGTCATGGTTACAATGAAAGACGCTTTGTGATTTTCACGAGGGAGGAGGCGCTACTGCGAGTAGCCATATGGACCCCTGAATCACGACAGGACAAGGTTGTAAATAGTGTAAAAAGAAATAAATCGAAACAAAACATGGACGTTTGGCATTAGTTTCGTAAACCAAAGGAGTTATTTCAAGGACTGCGCATAAATTCTGGGCTTTATTGGAACTTTGTAATGCTTAAACAGGTAAGCCAAAACGTTTTTTTTTTCCTGTACAGGTTTTAGTTAAAGCGTGAAAGTAATGAATTTGTGATGCTTTAATGCTTTCTTTGTAGTAAGAGAAAAAACATATGACTGCCATTTTGCCTATGTTCAACCTTTTGTGGTAAGTATTTCAAAAATAACAGTGCTTTGCTGAACCAAAGAGTATGTTTGTCATTGAGGTGCTGGTGAGTAAAAAGCCAGCTGGCGCTCTGTTTTGTGGGAGGGGGGCGGGCAAGGGTTGGAGGTAGGGGTGAAGCAGGGTGAGTAATAAAAAGCTGCTTGGGCATGAAAGATCCACCTGTTACATCTCTGACAGATAATTGGTAAAGCAAGATTGATTAAAGTTTTGTTGGCTTTTATTTTGCAAGCAAATGGAAGCATGGAATTAAATTAAGCTGGATCTGGGTACACGTGAGTAAGTTATTTTCTATGTTTTAAAAACATATTTTTGAGCACAGGGTCCAAACAAAAGATTCTGTACTAAAATAAGGTTTTTCTAGAAAATTTGTGCATATTTATTTTAGTCTGAGATCCATGTAAATTTAACTCATGCCTTTTTTTTTTAAATGGGAAAGATAAGATGGCATGCCATTCAATTAAGGTGTTGAATGGTGTTATTATAAATGGTATTTATGCTTTAATACAGTCTGAACTAACAGACTAGGTATATATTATATTCTATATACTCTATATTTCCACATAGAGTTGAAATATATGGAACTTGCTTTAATATTTTCTTTGTCGTTGTTGGGCACATTTAAAATACATAGCAATGAACGCAGTCTGAAATAGTCACCTCAGTGGTTACTGCCATCATGATTTTCTGCCATGTCGGTGTGGTCTAAGTACTGTTCTTTTAACTTTAAAGTTGTAAAGTATGTTTCCAGATGTATCTCTAGCAACATCTAATACTTCTTTTATGTGACTATATAAATAAATTTCAATGAGGGTTGAATAAATATAGGTGCAGCTTTAGCGATTTTCTGCTAATATTCATCTTTTTTCTCTCTTTATTTTTAGCAAATTGATTAAAATGTTTGGACTTGGGCATGGTAAGTGCTTAAATTATTAAATCTAAAGTGTCTTTTTTTCTCTTCATCTGATTACAGGATGACAACAATACAGTAGTGTAGGCAATCTCAAGGTTTTCGGTTTGAGACTTAAAATGAGGATCCAAGGGCAGCCTGAGGGTGCGAGGAGGCGTCTGGATATGAACCCAACTGGTGAACTCCGGGACGTGGAGGTCATCCGCGGTCGGGCTGGATATGGTTTTACTATTACAGGACAGAAACCGTGTCTGCTGAGTGGCATCATGGAGGGCAGTCCTGCTTTTGTGGTGGGACTCAGACAAGGAGATCGAATCATGGCCATCAATGGAGCCGACGTTTCTGCTGCTTCTCATGAAACTGTGGTGCAGCTGATCGGTGGCTGCAAAGGACCCCTGCATATGGTGGTGTTGTCAGAACGACGAATAATGGGGAACCCCATCCTCAATGATGCCAAGTTTGGGTTTGAGCAAAAAAGTGGTGCTTTCCAGAAGCCAGGTGTCCTCCGCGCTGTATCACATGACTCAAGCAGACCGTCTTTTAATCCTAACAACGGTCTCACCGCTAAACAGAGGCCAGTTTCAGAGCCCGACATGTCACTGTGGTCACAACAATTCAATGTTTTGTCTGCAAAGAAAAAGGAGGAAACATCCACAGTTAAAGACACAGATTCTGTTTTTACTGATACCGAAGAAGTCAATCCAGCCTGGAGTGTTTTAAACATGACTTTGGTGGTGGGCTACCTTAGCTCCACAGAGCTGATTCTGAACACCAGTGACTCTGAGGACGACTGTTTAAAGGCCATTCGGGAGAGAATTCGACAGCTTGGCACAGAGCAAGATACCCATACCCTCGTGATGATGAAGGTCATGTTCGATTGCATTCGACTGTGTGACGACGCAGGAGCCGTTCTGGCGGCGTTCCCTGCTGAGAACCTTGTTTTAGGAGCTGTTTGTGCTGAGGACCCGCGTTTCTTTTGCCTGGTCACCACGGCACATATTATCAATGGCCGGGTACCAGATAATGGTCCTCTTCGGGCATCCTGCCACGTGTTTTTCATTGACCCAGAGCTGGGAAACCACAAGGATCACATAGGAATTGCTTGCCGGTTTGGCTTTAATTGTATGCCAGATCCAGACTCTACGGGCTGCCTCGAGTTCCCTCAGACTCCCCCAGACGTGCTACACTTTGTAACAGTCCTATATAGCGATCTGGGGGAGGCGGTGGAAAGGCTTCGAGCTAAACTGGACATGGAGGCTCAGCAGACCGACAACACCAGTAAACTAGGCAGTGCTAGCAGCAACGGGGACAGCGGGATCGAAAATTCTTCCCCCCCTGAGGAGAGAGCGGACAGGGATTTCCCTTCTGATATCCCAAATCTTTCTGGGACCCACCTCCCAAGCTGTCCATGGGATTATCCCTCAACTGAGGTTGTCACCCCTATAAACCCCGTCAAAAATGGCCAAAAACTTGAGCCCGAGAACAGTGCCAGCCTACATTCCCTTTCAGAGTCACTGCCTGGCCCCGATTCCCTCACAAGCTTCTACGGAGGTCCCCCACCCAGGCTGGAGTTTCATTTTAAGCCCCCACCTCCTCCGTTACCCTTGAGTAAAAAACCAAACTTTCTGGCTTATCCCTTAAGAAGCAGCCAAAGGTGGTTTTCAAAGCCAAAATGGCCTAAATCCCTAACCAGCGATTCTGTAAATCAGGAGACATCCACCAAGATAAACTCCACCACAAATGACCCTCCTGCACTGAATCAGGTGTACTCAGACAGGTACCACTCCACCGAGGCCATGATGCCTCCTAGAGAGGAATGGACCAAGAGGTTTCTCGAACAAAGACAGAAACAGCAGGCACATGTCTGCTACAGAAATGTAAGATATTTTCCTAATTTCTCTTCATACTTTTCAATACAAATTATTTAGCTTTAGTTACAAATAAACGGATGACTTTATATTTACTGATAGTTTAAAGTGGCTGATTTTTCACTTTAGCTTGATAGATCTTCTAAAACACAGATACTTTTTCAAAATGTGTAAATGTTGACTTGTCAACCATGATGTGTAGGAAAAAGAAGTCAAGATTTCTTTTCCTCCTTGTTGGTTTTGCCTTTGACCACAAGATGTCCCCATGTATCCATGTTGCTCCGGAAACAAGCTTCCCCTTTGGGAAACAGCAATGCACTTAGACAGATCCACTCCAGTGGTTTCTCACTCTCTCTCCAAGGGCTCCAATTAGGCCCCATGGTGACAAATGTGTGTTCATTTAAAAAAAATTTTTTAATATTCAAAAGTATGTGTGTTGGATAGGTTTGGATTCAAACGGCATCTTTTTTTAGATTGCATCACTGTATATTTGTTATGGTAATTTCCAAACTCAGAGCTAGATTGTGTGCCCCTGCTGTGTTCTTAGATCTGAAAGAAGATAACTTTAGACAGGAAGCTGAGCAAATTACAGGGTAGAGCCCGTTTCATACATTGGTAATTATCTGCAATTCTTAACTCTAGTTTAAACATCAGTCACAACCTCTGCTTTCACAATAATTGGCTGGGATGTGGAAAAAAGTTAGAACTCATTATCTTTTAAGATAGTTGTGCCTCAGATGGTCTGATTGACTTTGATAGGATTTAAAATGTGTGATCTGTGTATGTGGATGGCACTTAAAAGTAATTCCTTACTTCTAGACTACTTGAACTTTTAAATGAGTAACATATATTGCAATTACATGCTAAAACTGCAGACAAGCAACTTATTAAATTGTATTTTCTTGCAGGTAGTTAAACACTGTTTCAAACTTGAATATGTGTGTGCTCAATCTAAAACCAGTAAAGGTGTTTCCAAATGGGGAAAGTATGGTGCTAATTTAAATAGTGCAGTAATTTGTGTTTACTTTTCTACTTTCTCCTCTGATAGGGATCCAGGTTTTGGGGCATAGGTGTTGCCCGTGCCTCCAAACGTCGTTCTTCCAAACGTCTCAGCATGGCAAGAAGTCTGGATGATCTTGAGGTAGGCGTTGTTATTTTTAGGGCTATGTGATGGTATGATTCTGTCTATATTGGGTCCCACTCCTGATCCAATCCAAAGTATCTTCTCCTGTCGGAGCCCGATCACAGCATTTTTAAACAATCATTCCAACTTGCTGATGAACCTTAACTGGCTGTCTATGTTGAGACTATATTAGCAGCAGATTTCTGCCAATTCCTGCTTTGCATAGTGCTGTCACAGTTTCAGATGTATGCACAGAGTCTGAAGCACTTAGTTTATAAAGGAGAAGAACTTCTGAAATATGACATTGTGATAAACACTGATAAACGCTAGTGTCATCCTGAAGGAGTCTTTTAAAGACTCTAGTTATGTCTATTAAGTGAGATGGCTTTAGAAAAATAAGCCTGTCTTGTGGAAAATGCTGCTGGGACGGAGTATTAGACATGTTAGTATCCAGTACATCGTTTATGAGTGAGCTAAGTGAGGCACAATCCCAAAACCAGTCAAGCAATATAATGCTGATGAAGTGTAATTTGTTGGAATTGCAAGTGCCTGACATTGATTCCACTCTTGTGGAATCAATGCAAATACATATGTTGAAGTGACTTCACTAAGCGATGAGTTACTTTAGTACTTAAATTTAGAGATTTACTCAAATAACTTCTTCACCTATGCTTGACTGCAAAACAAATTGAGTTTTTTGTCTTTTAATGTGGACTTTCAATCGAAACGTACCCCTTTTTGCTGGACCTTCTGTTCTCTCTAACCTTTCATTTCCGTTGCCTTGAACTCTGTTTGGTGCTCCACTTATAGAGAGAGGTGGCTCACAAAGTGGTCTTTGTGTGAGTCAGAGGCATGGACCTGTTTGTTTGGTCTTGCTAATGAGCCTTGCTGCACATTCTGAATTTTGTGCTTACGTTGTCTCATATTAATGACACTTAATAACTCGGTCTAGCCCCCTCCCTCTGTGAGCCTGCATTACTGATTCATATTCGCCTGTAATTTACCTAATATGACCATTTTAAATGTACATGAGGAAAACAGAAAAACAAACCAAATGATTGCATGCTGTATTGTATAAATATGCATGAGTCATACACTCTGAGAGGGAGACCATAAACCTGCTTGTCAGATTTGTCTCAACACACACTGAACAGAGCTGTGGTTTTAGAGCTCCATCTTTAGAGCAGGTTTGACCCAGATGTGAAAATAACATTGCGTCTTTCGTTAGTAAGACGCAATGTCATCTTCCATGCATCTTCCATGCATCAAGTATGTTGTGATGAGTTATACAACTTAAAGACACTTTAAAGAGTTTTGAAAGTGGGCTGATGGATGGTTATAACCCTGCTCAGTATTTTCGTCTTCTTGATTGTGCTTAAGTATATTTATTTCCTTTGGCTTCCAAGAAGTTGCAATTTGCTGCACATCAATCAATAGTGAAATTGCTTCTGAGTATCTTCAAGCAACTGATGTAGTGCTTTTCCTGGAATCATCTGGCTGTAAGATTATGCCCTGGTGAATATAAATTGAGAGACTGTAAGTGGTTGTATAACATAATCTCAACTTGTGTTGCTCTATCTTCTCATCCCTAGACCTTTAGTTTGCTTTGTTACACAGTCTTATACCTGTGGTACATGTTCTTAACATCTTTCTGCCATGAAAACTAAAGAATCCTAAAAGTTTGAGATAGTAAGTGGATAGAGTTTGTGCACTTTGTTTAGCTTAAATGTGATTTGGGACGTAAAATAAGTTTGGAGGTCTTTTTGCTTTCAGCTATTTGTTCCTTCCTGGAAGATGGAAATTGTTGGACTTCATAAGGGAATGGAAAATATTAAATGAAGTGTATATGCAGACTGGAAAAGTTGGAAAACATATACAGAATTTGATGTGAAATTCTTTGTTTCAAATCAAACATACTGGTAGTTTTAGAATATTTACATATTTAAAGTGTTGATGTGTTTTTTCTTTTCTGGATAAGCATGGATACACCAAGTATAGAATTAATATTTGCATTTTAAGATTTCATTCCAGTTGTCACCCATCCACCCATCTTCCTTACAGTCAGAAATATTTAAGCTTTCCTGTGGAAATGTTTTTTATAAATCTTTGGAAAATTGAGTCTTGAATGTATGGAATTATAATCTGAAGAATGTGCCAGAGACTTCTCCATATCCAAGGTTTCTATGGGTATTTGGATTTCAAACATAGTTAAAGGTTTTTATCTTGTAAACAAATCATGCTTTTTGGTGGATTAGAAAAACTCCATAATATTTTTCTTGCAAATTATCTTTCCTGTGATTTATTGACTTCATAATCACAGTTCTTTTTTTTTTTTTTAAGGAAGCATCCACAAAAAAAATCAATCAATAAGCACATGTTCAGCTTCTGGTATTTTGGCCATCTATCCTCAGCCAAAGCTCACTCCTAAGGAGAAAAATTTAGTGGATTTCTTTAAGATGCACCAGTTGGAGAACTTTTGCTTTGCTTTTTTTTAAGACTCCTGACATAAGATTTAGTGCAGGACCCAGTGGAGACCTTGTATCTCAGCCTTAAACTGAAGCCATCAGGATGTTGTGAATGACAAGATCAGCATAAATACATGATAACCTCTGAATTAGTGCATGCATCTGGACTCACAAGGACATTCTGAGACTATTTTATTCTTTGTTACCCTTTGTTACCCTTCATAGCAGACCTAGCCTTGATGCATGTAGACAAGAACAGAACAAACTGGTTTTGGTAGTCTGTTTTTAAACTTTTTGTTTAATAAGAGTTAACTAATTCCCTTTGTTTTATTAATATGGCTGCTGCAAACAAGCCACAGTGTACTGCACATATGATTGTATTTGTTATGCATTTCTCTCAGTAGAGGGAGAAGTGGCTGATATTCCATGTCTGTTTTTGTCTGACTTGTTTTTCCCCCTGTAACTTCCAACTCAGTGTTAGTCAGATCCTCTTTATGTTTGGGCATGTCAAAGAATGTTCTGCTTTGTACATTCTTGTCTTATTACCTTTCAGAGCTTGTCAGGCAGATGTCTCTGCATCCTCCTATAGAGCTCCAATTTTAGGAGCGTATTTTCTCTTCACAGCCCTAAAGCAGATGCTTGCACTCAGCAGATGACTGTGTGTTCAGCTCAGTGGAGATGACACCATTAGTCGGGTGCTCTATCTGTGTTCACGCTGATTCTGCTCTGTCTTCAGAGGTGTTTTATAGCTGCATATAAAAACATCTGTTAATGTGAGCTGCTAGAGAAAGCACACCGTTTTCACCCTCCTGCGAGATCCGGGGCAATCTTTTTTGCTCTTTGAGTGTCTCCTCTCCTTTCAGGTGTGGAGGCATTAGCAGCACTTGTTTGCATGTCTGGAGGGAACATATCTATGTTGTGGGTGTAGCAGAGAAGGCATGAGGACGCAGAGACGGTGAGGGAGGTAAATACAGAGGAGAGAGGGGACGAATTCACAGCAGAGAGAGAGAAAGGCAGAGAGGGAGGGAGAGGAACCGGCATCAGAAGGAAGAGAGAGGGAGCTTTTGAACTCCCAGTAGCTGTCAGGATTTTCAGTCTCCTCTTCACGCCCTCGCCTCCTCCTCCTCTCCTCCTCCCCCATTCAGCTTCGTCTCTCTGCACTGCGAAGCGCACAAGCTCTCCCACACACGCTCAGCCGACATCCAGCGGATGGACTCTTTTACACGCACCAGCCGCAGGGACCAGCGCTGAAAACGAGCCAGACGCACGCACACAGGACTATACATGGAGCAAACTTTAACTCTCAACTCTGTAAGTCGTCATATCTTCAGCTTTTTGTCATTCAGGCTGTCTGCCGATGCCATTTTCATCTTCCACACTTTTCCTTCTTGGGGCTCTGTGTGGCTCCTGTTGTAGCGGCATACAGTGGTTAGCTTGTGTGGTCTGTCAGAGGAATGTTTTGACCAGTGCCAGCTGAACTCCCATGTGTTGTATGATACACACACTGTGCTGCTGTATGAAGCAGGATGTGCTGCCGCTTTATACACCAGGATCCAAGCTGACTTTCATTTAGACCCTGAGACTTAAAGATGCTTATAAGTTTTTATGACCCAGGCTTATGTTTATTAAATGCAGGGCCTTTTGAATGAAGTGCGCTCTGCTGCACTTGCCCTGAGAAATGACCCTGTTCGCAGTCAGCTGGCAGCACCAAGACAAGGTCCATTCAGTGTGAAGGACACAGAGATGCAGAGGTTGTTGCTGTCAGATGGGATTAAATTTGCTGTGACATTTAGTGGCTTTGTTTTTTTTTTTTTTTTTTTTTTTTTGTTTTTGGGCTGTGATCACGTTGCAGCCACGGTTGTGTTTGAACTTTAAGTGGTTGCCTGTGGTTCTACCTTACCCATATTTGCTTTGTGTAGGCATGTCCCTGCTTTAATTCGCCAGCTTATCAGAACTACACTCTTAATGGTCCGACCTCTGAAACTGATGTGAACGTGTAAAAATGTACTTACTTTTTTGAGGCGGATTTTCGTTTATTCCTAGATTCGAGTTGAAATGGAGCAAGTTTAACAGGTAAAAGACAATTGAATAAACCAGGAAAATGCCAAAGAAATTAAATTACACTATTATTAAAAAGTTAATTTGTTTTAATAACTTTATTCTTTAAATGAAACATATGAGCCTCCACTGATCACATATTCAAATTTATTGGATATGACTATATATTTTGTCCATAGCATCTTGTCTTACTGATTAGCACAATAACGGATTATCTTTATAGATTAGCTGTGTTTCCTTTGGAGATTATATCCATAAATGTGTTCTCACTCCCTCACAGCCTGAATGAACTTCATAATTGATAAAGCATCCCTTTCAAACAGCGTCTTGAGTTTCTGTACTTCCTCTGACTTAATTTATGATATTTACTGAAAGAGTAATAAAGTTTTCGTGTGTAAATTAACTTTACACAAATATTTTTCCTTCCAAAAACAGCAAGGTTGTGCGTACTTTTAACCATGCCCGCCTGAGCTTGCAAGCAGTTGTAGCCTTATT